CACACTAATGATCGGTGATATGTGCTGTGTGTGTAACATACATGATTGATCACACTAATGATCGGTGATATGTGCTGTGTGTGTAACATACATGATTGATCACACTAATGATCGGTGATATGTGCTGTGTAACATACATGATTGATCACACTAATGATCGGTGATATGTGCTGTGTGTGTAACATACATGATTGATCACACTAATGATCGGTGATATGTGCTGTGTGTGTAACATACATGATTGATCACACTAATGATCGGTGATATGTGCTGTGTGTAACATACATGATTGATCACACTAATGATCGGTGATATGTGCTGTGTAACATACATGATTGATCACACTAATGATCGGTGATATGTGCTCTGTGTGTAACATACATGATTGATCGCACTAATGATCGGTGATATGTGCTGTGTGTAACATACATGATTGATCGCACTAATGATCGGTGATATGTGCTGTGTGTGTAACATACATGATTGATCACACTAATGATCGGTGATATGTGCTGTGTGTAACATACATGATTGATCACACTAATGATCGGTGATATGTGCTGTGTGTAACATACATGATTGATCACACTAATGATCGGTGATATGTGCTCTGTGTGTAACATACATGATTGATCGCACTAATGATCGGTGATATGTGCTGTGTGTAACATACATGATTGATCGCACTAATGATCGGTGATATGTGCTGTGTGTAACATACATGATTGATCACACTAATGATCGGTGATATGTGCTGTGTGTAACATACATGATTGATCACACTAATGATCGGTGATATGTGCTGTGTAACATACATGATTGATCACACTAATGATCGGTGATATGTGCTGTGTGTAACATACATGATTGATCGCACTAATGATCGGTGATATGTGCTGTGTGTGTGTAACATACATGATTGATCGCACTAATGATCGGTGATATGTGCTGTGTGTGTGTAACATACATGATTGATCGCACTAATGATCGGTGATATGTGCTGTGTATGTAACATACATGATTGATCGCACTAATGATCGGTGATATGTGCTGTGTAACATACATGATTGATCGCACTAATGATCGGTGATATGTGCTGTGTGTGTAACATACATGACTGATCACACGAATGATCGGTGATATGTGCTGTGTGTGTGTAACATACATGACTGATCACACGAATGATCGGTGATATGTGCTGTGTGTGTAACATACATGACTGATCACACTACTATGATCGGTGATATGTGCTGTGTGTGTAACATACATGACTGATCACACTAATGATCGGTGATATGTGCTGTGTGTAACATACATGATTGATCGCACTAATGATCGGTGATATGTGCTGTGTGTGTAACATACATGATTGATCACACTAATGATCGGTGATATGTGCTGTGTGTGTAACATACATGATTGATCGCACTAATGATCGGTGATATGTGCTGTGTGTGTAACATACATGATTGATCGCACTAATGATCGGTGATATGTGCTGTGTGTGTAACATACATGATTGATCGCACTAATGATCGGTGATATGTGCTGTGTGTGTAACATACATGATTGATCGCACTAATGATCGGTGATATGTGCTGTGTGTAACATACATGATTGATCGCACTAATGATCGGTGATATGTGCTGTGTGTAACATACATGATTGATCGCACTAATGATCGGTGATATGTGCTGTGTAACATACATGATTGATCACACTAATGATCGGTGATATGTGCTGTGTGTAACATACATGATTGATCGCACTAATGATCGGTGATATGTGCTGTGTGTAACATACATGATTGATCGCACTAATGATCGGTGATATGTGCTGTGTGTAACATACATGATTGATCGCACTAATGATCGGTGATATGTGCTGTGTGTAACATACATGATTGATCGCACTAATGATCGGTGATATGTGCTGTGTGTAACATACATGATTGATCGCACTAATGATCGGTGATATGTGCTGTGTAACATACATGATTGATCACACTAATGATCGGTGATATGTGCTGTGTGTAACATACATGATTGATCGCACTAATGATCGGTGATATGTGCTGTGTAACATACATGATTGATCACACTAATGATCGGTGATATGTGCTGTGTGTAACATACATGATTGATCGCACTAATGATCGGTGATATGCTGTGTAACATACATGATTGATCACACTAATGATCGGTGATATGTGCTGTGTGTAACATACATGATTGATCGCACTAATGATCGGTGATATGTGCTGTGTAACATACATGATTGATCACACTAATGATCGGTGATATGTGCTGTGTGTAACATACATGATTGATCACACTAATGATCGGTGATATGTGCTGTGTAACATACATGATTGATCACACTAATGATCGGTGATATGTGCTGTGTAACATACATGATTGATCGCACTAATGGGATCGGTGATATGTGCTGTGTGTAACATACATGATTGATCGCACTAATGATCGGTGATATGTGCTGTGTGTGTAACATACATGATTGATCGCACTAATGATCGGTGACTCGTCTCTCTGCAGACAAAGCATTGAAGAATTACTGGACACTTACCATGAACAAGTCAGCATGTGCCTTACTAATGAGGTGAGGAATATCGGGAGCCGTGTGCGCTGTCCGTGGTCACAGATCAGAACCTCCCCTTCCTGGACAGCGGTGTGAGGTGGAGGCGGTGATTGCGGGGCAGCAATTGCGGGGTGCGAGGCGGCGATTCCGGGATGGGAGGTGGCGGATTCCGGGGTGGGAGGCGTGGCGGATTCCGGGATGGGAGGCGGGGATTCCGGGGTGGGAGCGGCGGATTCCGGGGTGGGAGGCGGCGGGATTCCGGGGTGGGAGGCGGCGGATTCCGGGGTGGGAGGCGGCGGATTCCGGGGTGGGAGGCGGCGGATTCCGGGGTGGGAGGCGGCGGATTCCGGGGTTTACGAGGTGGCGGATTCCGGGGTTTACGAGGTGGCGATTCCGGGGTGTGAGGGTGCGAGGTGGCGATTCCGGGGGTTTATGAGGCGGTGATTCCGGGGTGGGAGGCGCCGGATTTCGGGGTGCATGAGGTGGTGATTTCAGGGTGGGAGGCGGTGGATTCCGGGTGCGCGAGGCGGTGATTTCGGGGTGCGCGAGGCGGTGATTTCGGGGTGCGCGAGGCGGTGATTTCGGGGGTGCGCGAGGCGGTGATTTCGGGGTGCGGCCTCTTAGAATATAATTCCAGAATTGTGACTTGGACCCTCCCGCTGGACAGAACCGCTTTGTTCTCTGTAACTGATGGAAATGCCTGAAGCAGAATTGTTGATCAATCTGAGGTTTCTGTGTCCCGTGTGTGTCCCGTGTGTGTCCCGTGTGTTTTCCATGTATGTATGTCCCGTCATCTGGGCAGGCTGGTTAGGGAGGCCAGTAGTTCATACATGTGAATTATCCGCCCTACACAGTGTCTGTATACAATGACAGGTGACTGGGCTCATCATACATGACACACACAATGGAGACCTCAGATCTTCCCATAATTCCCTTTCCTTTGTTCATGGTGGGCGTGGACTAAAGATTGATCTCTACCTGTTCTATGGGGTCACCTAATGGGGTCACCGATTGATTATTTCAGAGTAACCCATACAAAGCTGCTGACCAAATCATCAAGTCGGTGAGAAATCTCTGCAAGACTGTGGACAGTGTGGAGACGCCATCCATCACAGACTGCGTGAAGAAGCTGCGGAGGGCGGTGAACTTACCGCGGAGCCGCAGCATTGAGGTGAGACGGTCTGCGAGCCATAATCATTCTGAAGATTCAGGTCAACTGCTGCTGCTGCATGGGGGGGGGCCTGGACTCTGCATGGGGGGGCCTGGACTCTGCATGGGGGGGCCTGGTCTCTGCATGGGGGGGGCCTGGTCTCTGCATGGGGGGGGCCTGGACTCTGCATGGGGGGGCCTGGACTCTGCATGGGGGGGGCCTGGACTCTGCATGGGGGGGCCTGGACTCTGCATGGGGGGGGCCTGGACTCTGCATGGGGGGGGCCTGGACTCTGCATGGGGGGGGCCTGGACTCTGCATGGGGGGGGCCTGGACTCTGCATGGGGGGGGCCTGGACTCTGCATGGGGGGGGCCTGGACTCTGCATGGGGGGGGGGGCCTGGTCTCTGCATGGGGGGGGCCTGGACTCTGCATGGGGGGGGCCTGGACTCTGCATGGGGGGGGCCTGGACTCTGCATGGGGGGGGCCTGGACTCTGCATGGGGGGGGCCTGGACTCTGCATGGGGGCCTGGTGCATGGGGGGGCCTGGTCTCTGCATGGGGGGCCTGGGTCTCTGCATGGGGGGGGCCTGGTCTCTGCATGGGGGGGGCCTGGACTCTGCATGGGGGGGGGACTCTGCATGGGGGGGGCCTGGACTCTGCATGGGGGGGGCCTGGTCTCTGCATGGGGGGGGCCTGGACTCTGCATGGGGGGGGCCTGGTCTCTGCATGGGGGGGCCTGGACTCTGCATGGGGGGGGGGCCTGGACTCTGCATGGGGGGGCCTGGACTCTCTGCATGGGGGGGCCTGGACTCTGCATGGGGGGGCCTGGACTCTGCATGGGGGGGCCTGGACTCTGCATGGGGGGGGCCTGGACTCTGCATGGGGGGGGCCTGGACTCTGCATGGAGGGGCCTGGACTCTGCATGGGGGGGGCCTGGACTCTGCATGGGGGGGCCTGGACTCTGCATGGGGGGGCCTGGACTCTGCATGGGGGGGCCTGGACTCTGCATGGGGGGGCCTGGTCTCTGCATGGAGGGGCCTGGACTCTGCATGGGGGGGGCCTGGACTCTGCATGGAGGGGCCTGGACTCTGCATGGGGTGTGTTGCTCCATTTGGCTCAATCTCTGCCTGGGGCCTGGTCTCTGCATGGAGTCTGTTGCTGGCAGGTGTTGCAGTTTGTGTACGTTCCATTAATGCATTGCTGTGATTTCAGGGGCCCTCCAGTCCAGTTGTGGGGTGTTCGGACAGTCCATCAGAGGGTGAGTGTCCCCGATATCACATGTGGAATTCTCAGCAGCGTAGTTTGCCCTGACTGTGTGCTCTCTGTTGCAGGTATTCCCCACAATGAGAGTCCTTTGCAGGAAAGTTTACAACAGTTGACATCGGCGGTCCACAAGCTGCTGCAGCTTCACTTCTCCTCCGGTACCGCAGCCTTGGACCCGAGTAATCAGCGACCGCTGAGAGAGGCCCGCAGCTCCGCTGACCATCTCCAGTTCACCATCTTTGCTGCTCATGGGATTCCCACAGGTTGGGTGTCCAGGTAAGATGGGTCGGATGTCTTCAATGAGGGCTTTCCTTCACATACAGAATGCCGGTGCTGCTCATCGCAGTGTGTACAGCGGTACTGATAGTGATTGGCCTGGTTCTGGAGTTCTCCACCCGGACCTTCCATGTTCTATGTAGTGGATGGTGTGATGGTGTTCGTTTCCTGCCTTGGTGTTCGTTTCCTGCCTTGGGTGGCCGGTTCCTGCCTTGGGTGGCCGGTTCCTGCCTTGGGGTGGCCGGGGTTTCCAGCCTTGGGTGGCCGGTTCCTGCCTTGGGTGGCCGGTTCCTGCCTTGGGTGGCCGGTTCCTGCCTTGGGTGGCCGGTTCCTGCCTTGGGTGGCCGGTTCCTGCCTTGGGTGGCCGGGTCCTGCCTTGGGTGGCCGGGTCCTGCCTTGGGTGGCCGGGTCCTGCCTTGGGTGGCGGTTCGGGTGGCCGGTTCCTGCCTTGGGTGGCCGGTTCCTGCCTTGGGTGGCCGGGTCCTGCCTTGGGCGGCCGGTCTTATTGCCAGTGTCGGAGGGTTGTGTTTCTTCCAAGTGCACTTTACGTTCCCATACACCAGGGGTGCTCAACCTTCTGAAGAGCGGGGGCCACTTGAGCTGTTTGGTAACCAGTCGGGGGCCACAATGAAATGAAAAGGTTCCGAATTCCACATTTTGAATAGAGTAATGAACATTTTAAACAATCCAGATCATCATTTTCTGTGGAGCCCCACCGGATGTTTACCCACCGAGTACTCGCAGGACGACAGAAAATGGGCAGTCGGACCCCATTCTGTGAAGGAGTCCAAGGCGGCCGTCATACGGATCTGCTGCTGTGGCTTTCCTGCGAGGTCGCTGCGCTTTGCCATAGACTTCTATTATATCCTGCAGATGGGGTCCGCTTTCTGAAAGAGCAGCCAACCCGCAGGATACCTATGGCTCAGTGCACCCAAACCCCGCAGGATACTTATGGCTCAGTGCAGCTAAACCCGCAGGATACCTATGGCTCAGTGCACCCAACCCGCAGGATACCTATGGCTCAGTGCAGCTAAACCCGCAGGATACCTATGGCTCAGTGCACCCAACCCGCAGGATACCTATGGCTCAGTGCACCCAACCCACAGGATACCTATGGCTCAGTGCACCCAACCCGCAGGATACCTATGGCTCAGTGCACCTAAACCCGCAGGATACCTATGGCTCAGTGCACCCAAACCCGCAGGATACCTATGGCTCAGTGCACCCAACCCGCAGGATACCTATGGCTCAGTGCAGCTAAAACCCGCAGGATACTTATGGCTCAGTGCACCCAACCCGCAGGATACCTATGGCTCAGTGCACCCAACCCGCAGGATACCTATGGCTCAGTGCACCCAACCCGCAGGATACCTATGGCTCAGTGTACCCAACCCGCAGGATACCTATGGCTCAGTGTACCCAACCCGCAGGATACCTATGGCTCAGTGCAGCTAAACCCGCAGGATACTTATGGCTCAGTGCACCCAACCCGCAGGATACCTATGGCTCAGTGTACCCAACCCGCAGGATACCTATGGCTCAGTGCAGCTAAACCCGCAGGATACTTATGGCTCAGTGCACCCAACCCGCAGGATACCTATGGCTCAGTGCACCCAACCCGCAGGATACCTATGGCTCAGTGTACCCAACCCGCAGGATACCTATGGCTCAGTGCACCCAACCCGCAGGATACCTATGGCTCAGTGCACCCAACCCGCAGGATACCTATGGCTCAGTGCACCCAACCCGCAGGATACCTATGGCTCAGTGCACTAAACCCGCAGGATACTTATGGCTCAGTGCACCCAACCCGCAGGATACCTGTGGCTCAGTGCACCCAACCCGCAGGATACCTATGGCTCAGTGCACCCAACCCGCAGGATACCTATGGCTCAGTGCACCCAACCCGCAGGATACCTATGGCTCAGTGCACCCAACCCGCAGGATACCTATGGCTCAGTGCACCCAACCCGCAGGATACCTATGGCTCAGTGCACCCAACCCGCAGGATACCTATGGCTCAGTGCACCCAACCCGCAGGATACCTATGGCTCAGTGCACCCAACCCGCAGGATACCTATGGCTCAGTGTACCCAACCCGCAGGATACCTATGGCTCAGTGCACCCAACCCGCAGGATACCTATGGCTCAGTGCACCCAACCCGCAGGATACCTATGGCTCAGTGCACCCAACCCGCAGGATACCTATGGCTCAGTGCACCCAACCCGCAGGATACCTATGGCTCAGTGTGAAAGCAGCCTAATAACCATACTGTGGTAAACTGACCTTCCTTCACTGTCTGCATCAGCGGGGGTCTCCGCTTTCTGCGTGGGCGGGGGGGGTCTCCGCTTTCTGCGTGGGCGGGGGGTCTCCGCTTTCTGCGTGGGCGGGGGGTCTCCGCTTTCTGCGTGGGCGGGGGGTCTCCGCTTTCTGCGTGGGCGGGGGGGGTCTCCGCTTTCTGCGTGGGCGGGGGGGGGTCTCCACAGCCGCTTTCTGCGTGGGCGGGGGGTCTCCGCTTTCTGCGTGGTGGGCGGGGGGGTCTCCGCTTTCTGCGTGGGCGGGGGGTCTCCGCTTTCTGCGTGGGCGGGGGGTCTCCGCTTTCTGCGTGGGCGGGGGGTCTCCGCTTTCTGCGTGGGCGGGGGTCTCCGCTTTCTGCGTGGGTCTCCCCTTTCTGCGTGGGCCTCCCCTTTCTGCGTGGGCCTCCCCTTTCTGCGTGGGCCTCCCCTTTCTGCGTGGGCCTCCCCTTTCTGCGTGGGCCTCCCCTTTCTGCGTGGGCCTCCCCTTTCTGCGTGGGCCTCCCCTTTCTGCGTGGGGGGTCCCCGCTTTCTGCGTGGGCCTCCCCTTTCTGCGTGGGCCTCCCCTTTCTGCGTCGCCCCTTTCTGCGTGGGCGGGGGGGGTCGCCCCTTTCTGCGTGGGCGGGGGTCGCCCCTTTCTGCGTGGGGTCGGGGGTCGCCCCTTTCCGCATCCGCCGCAGGCTGTAGGAAATGTTGCTGTCGGGGGCGGAATGCGCTGGTTATCGCTCCGCGTGGGACAAGAGCCGGGACTTTGGAGGAAGCCTCAGTCTATGTGGCTCTGCTTCCTCCGCAGCCTCTTCTTCCTCCACCATTGGCTCCATCCACAACACTGATGCTCTGTGATGGCGGGTCATTAATCCGTGATCTGGGCTTGTCGAAACGCCATCCCGGGACATCAATGTTGTGGATGGAGCCAGAGCAGGAGGTCATGGGCCACAGAGGTCTCCGCAGGCCGCCAGTTGGGCACCCCTGCCATACAAGTCTATAGGGAAGCACCTCAGAAGTTCCGGCAGCCCGCTGACACATGGCCTCGTAGGAATGGGAAGTGTGAAATATTTCCCTATAGACACCAGATAAATCTTCCAGGTAATACAAGGCGATCTGTCCTCTGAGATCTGGGCGGAGCCTATTACCGGAGACGTGATCATAGAGAAGGTCGGCTCTATCGGTCACATTTTTCCTTGAAAGGCGTCCAATCTCTCCCGCAGGGTAAAACGTGTTCATCCAATCACAGGGACTCGGTTTTATCAGGAACTCCTGGCACCTTCACAAATGGTTTTTCTCCTCCTGAGCGAGTGAAAAGGAAACCATCCATTTTGCTGCGTTGGTTGATAGTTCTTTGGGATAGAAAATCTGATTTTTGTGTGTTTTGGGGTAAAACATTTTTTATTCAAGTCCATTGAGGGACACAGGAATTCAGGAACAGTCGGGTTATACTGCTACCTACAGGAGGATGGGTCAATGGTGGACAGAGAAGTTGTAAGCTCGTCCCCATATAATCGCTCTTAGTTTTGTGAGAAAGCAATACACAGGGTGAGTTAGACACAGAGGGGTGGGACCAGAGGGGTGGGGGACATTGAGGGGTGGGACCGGAGGGGTGGGATAAAGACATTGAGGGGCAGGACTGGAGGTGTGAGACCAGAGGTGTGAGACCAGAGGTGTGAGACCAGAGGTGTGAGACCAGAGGTGTGAGACCAGAGGTGTGAGACCAGACAGGTGTGAGACCAGAGGTGTGGGACCAGAGGTGTGGGACCAGAGGTGTGGGACCAGAGGTGTGGGACCAGAGGGGTGGGACCAGAGGGGTGGGACCAGAGGGGTGGGACCAGAGGGGTGGGACCAGAGGGGTGGGACCAGAGGGGTGGGACCAGAGGGGTGAGTTAATGACACTGAGGGGTGGGACCAGAGGGGTGAGTTAATGAAATTGAGGGGTGGGACCAGAGGGGTGAGTTAATGAACTGAGGGGTGGGACCAGAGGGGTGAGTTAATGACATTGAGGGGTGGGACCAGAGGGGTGAGTTAAACATTGAGGGGTGGGACCAGAGGGGTGAGTTAATGACATTGAGGGGTGGGACCAGAGGGGTGAAATGACACTGATGGGTGGGACCTGAGGGGTGAGTTAAAGACACTGAGGGGTGGGACCTGGGGGGTGGGACCTGAGAGGGGGTGGGGGGTGGGGACCTGAGTTCCTCAATGGACTCCAAGAGCTCCGTTGTTTTTACAAAACTAAAGGAAAGACAACCAACCTCCTAGGACACTAGCAAAGAAGAAAAACCTGGGGCATGCTGGGTAGAGGAGGAGTTACACAGGGGCTGGCTTAAACCGTTGATTTGTCCGATCCTCCCGTAGGTGGCAGTATAACCATTTCTGAATCCCTGTGTCCCTCAATGGATGATGAAGGAATGATTCCATTGGGTGTTGGGCAGGAAATGTGCTGAAATGTGAGGTTCAGAAATCGCGTGTTGTATGTTGGAGTCTCGTGTGTCTGACGTGTTCTGATTGTCCTCGTCTCCTCCTCTCGGTTTCAGCTTTGAGAAGTATTATATAATGTGCTCCTTGCTGTGCAACGGGAGAGATTTGTTCAAACCGGTTCAGTCGAAGAAAGTGGGAACATACAAGAGCTTCTTCTACCTGGTGAAATGGGACGAGCTGTAAGTACGGATACACCCTACAGGGGGGCGGAGTCTGACACGTGTCGCTGAATGCCAAGACTGTGGTGGGGAAGGTCGGGGGTTGGACCCCTTGGTGGGCTTTTATTAATAAAACCAAAATAATGGAAGTGGGAGAGGACTCGGTTGCAAAATGTTAGTTTTTCGATGTGATTTACATGGACTTTTTTTTTGCAAAAATAATGAGGTGATTCTGGCCTGTCGTGGCTTTCATTACCGTCACCCTCTATTGTGTTGTCACTGAAAATGATGGGAAATCCTAAATGCCTGTTGGCAGAACCAGGAATGGAGGGGAAGTCCACCAATGGGGACACCCGATCTTGTGACATCTGACACCATGAAGACATTCATGTCACTTAAGAGTGATTTTCTCCCACTTCCTGCTGTGTCCACAGAACAGGAAGTGGAGAGACGGATGTGCAGTCCTGTGATGGATCATATCTGAGCATTGTCTGAATGCCTCAGTCCTGTGGGATATAGACGTGTGTGTAATTAATATATATGTATACATACATACATACATACACACATATATAAATAAAAAGTACATACCCCCCCCCCAGTCCGGTTTCTGTGATGTAAAAAAATGAGACACAGATAAATCATTTCAAAGCTTCTTCACCTTTAATGTGACCCATAAAATGTAAAACACTAAAATAATCTGGTTGCATAAATGTTCACACCCTTACACTGATCCTTTGGTGAAGCTCCTTTTGATGTGATTCCGGCACTCAGTCTTTTGGGGAGGAGTCTATCAGCACATCACATCCTGATTCGGCAGTATTTACCCGCTCTTCCAAATCTGTCAGATTGCGTGTCATCTCCTGCACACAGCCCTCCTCACATCCCCCCACAGATCTTCCATCGGGTTCAGGTCGGGGCTCTGGCTGGGCCATTCCAGAACTTCCTCTCTCCTGGTGATCCCATTCCTTTGTGGATTTGGATGGACGCTTTGGGTGGTGGTCATGCTGGAAGATGAAGTTCCTCTTCATGAAGCCGGAAGGTTTGGTGCCGATATTGACCCGTATTTGGGACCTGTTCATAATTCCCTCCACCTGGACTAAGGCCCCAGTTCCAGCTGAATAAAAAAAAACCGCCCCAAAGCATGATGCTGCCCCCACCATGCTTCACAGTGGGTATGGGGTTCTTCTGGTGATGGGCAGTGTTGTGCCAAACATATCTCTTGGAATTCTGGCCACAAAGTCCATCCTTGGTTCCATCGGACCAGAACACATTCCCTCGTGCTCCTGGGAGACTTCAGATGTGTTTTTGCAGAATGTAGCCGGGCTTGGATGGTTTTCTTGGTGAGGAAAGTCTTCCGTCTTCCACTCTCCCCCATCGCCCAACATATGAAGAACACGAGAGATCGGTGTCACATGGACCACACAGCCAGGACTGGCCACATATTCCTGCAGCTCCTTTCATGTTGCTGTACGCCTCTTGGATGCCTCCCAGACCGGTTTTCTTCTCATCTTTTCATCCAGTTTGGAGACGTCCAGTTCTTGGTGATGTCCCTGTTGGTTAGGTCCCTGTTGGTGATGTCCCTGTCGGTGAGGCCCCTGCTGGTGAGGCCCCTGCTGGTGAGGCCCCTGCTGGTGAGGTCCCTGCTGGTGAGGTCCCTGCTGGTGAGGTCCCTGCTGGTGAGGTCCCTGCTGGTGAGGTCCCTGCTGGTGAGGTCCCTGCTGGTGAGGCCCCTGCTGGTGAGGCCCCCTGCTGGTGAGGCCCCTGCTGGTGAGGCCCCTGCTGGTGAGGTCCCTGCTGGTGAGGTCCCTGCTGGTGAGGTCCCTGCTGGTGAGGTCCCTGCTGGTGAGGTCCCTGCTGGTGAGGTCCCTGCTGGTGAGGCCCCTGCTGGTGAGGCCCCTGCTGGGTGATGTCCCTGCTGGTGATGTCCCTGTTGGTGAGGTCCCTGTTGGTGAGGTCCCTGCTGGTGAGGCCCCTGCTGGTGAGGCCCCTGCTGGTGAGGCCCCTGCTGGTGAGGCCCCTGCTGGTGATGTCCCTGCTGGTGAGGTCCCTGCTGGTGATGTCCCTGTTGCGCCATATTTTCCTCCCCTTGATGATGACGGTCTTCGCTGTGTTCCATGGGATATCTAACGCCTTGGGAATGCTTCTGTCCCCTTCTGACTGATACTTTGTATCAATGAGATCCCTCCGATGCTTTGGACGCTCTCTGCAGACCATGGCTTTTGCTGTAGGATGCGACTAAGAAAATGTCACGAAAAGCTGAACTTTATTTGGGGGTCATCAGAGGCACTTTACATGATGGCGGGTGTGTACTGACTGCTATATACCATGATTGTGGGTGTGATTGCTTCATTCTGACCACAGTGACATCCCCAGTTATAGGAGGGTGTGCACACTTATGCATCCACATTATTTTACCGTATTTGCCGGCGTATAAGACGACCCCCCTACTTTTCCTGCTAAAATGTAGTGTTTGGGCTATACTCGCCGTATAAGACTACCCCTCTTCCAATGCACACCAGTGGGAGGCATAGTGCACCCATCATTGATGTCAGTGGGAGGAATAGTGCCCCATCATTGGTGTCAGTGGGAGGAATAGTGCCCCATCATTGGTATCAGTGGGAGGAATAGTGCCCCTTCATTGGTGTCAGTGGGGAGGAATAGTGCCCCATCATTGGTATCAGTGGGAGAATAGTGCCCCATCATTGGTATCAGTGGGAGGAATAGTGCCCCATCATTGGTGTCAGTGGGAGGAATAGTGCCCCATCATTGGTATCAGTGGGAGGAATAGTGCCCCATCATTGGGTGTCAGTGGGAGGAATAGTGCCCCATCATTGGTGTCAGTGGGAGGAATGGTGTCCCATCATTGGTGTCCTGTGAGGGTGGAATTGTGCCCCATCATTGGTGTCAGTGGGAGGAAGTAGTTGCCCCATCATTGGTGTCAGTGGGAGGAATGGTGTCCCATCATTGGTGTCAGTGAGGGTGAAATAGTGCCCCATCATTGGTGTCAGTGAGGGGAAGTGGAATAGTGCCCCATCATTGGTGTCAGTGGGGGGAGGAAAGGGGGATGCCCCATCGTTGCCATGGGGAGGAAGGAATTAGTGCCATCGTTGTCAGTGGGTCTGTCTCCCCCTAATAGGCCCATCAATTGGTGTCAGTGGAGGAATAGTGCCCCAAGCATTGGGCTAGTCAGTTAGTGCCCATCATTTTGGTGTCGGAGGAGGAATAGTGCCCCATCAGCAAAGAGTGGTGTCAGTGGGAGGTGCCCCGATCAATGGGAGGAAATTGTGCCCCATCATTGGTGTCAGTGGGGAGGAATAGTGCCCATCATTGGTCAGTGGCAGGATAGTGCCCCATCATTGGTGTCAGTGGGAGGAATAGTGCCCATCATTGGTGTCAGTGGGGGGAGGAATAGTGCCCCATCATTGGTGTCAGTGGGAGGAGGAATTTGAGTGTCCCATCATTGGTGTCAGAGAGGGAGGAATAGTGCCCCATCATTGGTTGTCAGTGGGAGGAATAGTGTGCCCCATCGTTGGTGCAGTGGAGGAATAGGTGCCCCATCATTGGTGTCAGTGGGAGGAATAGTGCCCCATCATTGGTGTCAGTGGGGAGGAATAGTGCTCCATCATTGGTGTCAGTGGGAGGAATAGTGCCCCCATCATTGGTGTCAGTGGGAGGAATAGTGCCCCATCATTGGTGCTCAGTGGGAGGAAATAGTGCCCCATCATTGGTGTCAGTGGGAGGAATAGTGCCCATCATTGGTATCAGTGGGAGGAATAGTGCCTCCATCATTGGTTGTCAGTGGGAGGAATGTGCCCCATCATTGGTTGTCAGTGGGAGGAATAGTGCCCCATCGATTGGTGTCAGTGGAGGAATAGTGCCCCATCGTTGGTGGTCAGTGGGAGGAATAGTGCCCCGTCATTGGTATCAGTGGGAGGAAGTGCCCCGTCATTGGGTGTCAAGTGGAGAGGAATAGTGCCATCATTGGTGTCAGTGGGAGGAATAGTGCCCCATCATTGGTGTCAGTGGGAGGAATAGTGCCCCATCATTGGTGTCAGTGGGAGGAATAGTGCCCCATCATTGGTATCAGTGGGAGGAAATAGTGCCCATCATTGGTATCAGTGGGAGGAATAGTGCCCCATCATTGGTGTCAGTGGGAGGAATAGTGCCCCTCATTGGTATCAGTGGGAGGAATAGTGCCCCATCATTGGTGTCAGTGGGAGGAATTAGTGCCCCATCATTGGTGTCAGTGGGAGGAATAGTGCCCCATCATTGGTATCAGTGGGAGGAATAGTGCCCCATCATTGGTATCAGTGGGAGAGGGAATAGTGCCCCCATCATTGGTTTTTGTCAGTGGGAGGAATAGTGCCCCATCATTGGTGTCAGTGGGAGGAAATAGTGCCCCATCATTGGTGTCAGTGGAGGAATAGTGCCCCATCATTGGTGTCAGTGGGAGGAATGGTGCCCCATCATTGGTGTCACGTGGGAGGAATAGTGCCCCATCATTGGTGTCAGTGGGAGGAATAGTGCCATCATCAGTTGTGCCCCTTGTGTTATCAGTGAGGAGGAATAGGTGCCCCATCTTTGGTGTCCCCCATCATTGGTGTCGTGGGAGGAAATGGTGTCCCATCATTGGTGTCAGTGGGAGGAATAGTGCCCCATCATTGGGTGTCCCATCATTGGTGTCAGTGAGGGTTATCAGTGGAATAGTTGCCCCATCATTGGTTGTTCAGTTGGTGTCATCCATTGGTTGGTTGTCAGTGAGGGGTGGAATAGTGCCCATCATTGGTGTCAGTGGGAGGAATAGTGCCCATTCATTGTGTGGGAGGAATATCAGGTGGTGGGAGGAATAGTGCCCCATCATTGGTGTCAGTGGAAGATACAGTGTCCCATCGTTGGTATCAGTGGAGGAATAGTGCCCCATCATTGGTGTCAGTGGGAGGAATAGCGCCCCATCATTGGTGGTCCAGTGGGAGGAATAGTGTCCCATCGTTGGTATCAGTGGGAGGAATAGTGCCCCATTCATTGTTCAGTGTCAGTGGTTGGTAGGAATAGTGCCCCGTCATTGGTGTCAGTGGGAGGAATGGGGTGTCCCATCATTGGTGTCCAGTGGAGGGGTGGAATAGTTGCCCCATCATTGGTGTCAGTGGGAGGAATAGTGCCCCATCATTGGTGTCAGTGGGAGATATGGTGTCCCATCATTGGTGTCAGTGGGAGGAATGGTGTCCCATCATTGGTGTCAGTGAGGGGTGGAATAGTGCCCCATCATTGGTGTCAGTGGGAGGAATAGTGCCCCATCATTGGTTTGTCAGTGGGAGGAATAGTGTCCCACTCGTTGGTATCAGTGGGAGGAATAGTGCCCCATCATTGGTGTCAGTTGGGAGGATAGCCCCCATCATTGGTGTCAGTGGGAGGAATAGTGTCCCATCGTTGGGTATCAGTGGGAGGAATAGTTGCCCCATCATTGGTGTCAGTGGAGGATAGTGCCCCATCATTGGTGTCAGTGGGAGGAATAGTGCCCCCCGTCATTGGTGTCAGTGGAGGAATAGTGCCCCATCATTGGTATCAGTGGGAGGAATTAGTGCCCCATCATTGGTGTCAGTGGGAGGAATAGTGCCCCGTCATTGGTGTCAGTGGGAGGAATAGTGCCCCCATCATTGGTGTCAGTGGGAGGAATAGTGCCCCGTCTCATTGGTGTCAGTGGGAGGATTAGTGCCCATCATTGGTGTCAGTGGGAGGGGAATTAGTGCCCCGTCATTGGTTGTCAGTGGGAGGAATAGTGCCCCATCATTGGTGTCAGTGGGAGGAATAGTGCCCCCCATCATTGGTATCAGTGACACCAATGATGGGGCACTATTCCTCCCACTGAGACTTGCTGACCCTGTTCTCGTATGGTGCTCCTGCAGCCAGGCATATGTGGTTGCCAGCAGCACCTCTACACAGCACACTTACCTGCTGCTCCGGCACTCAATTTTCGCGGGGCCGCTCGGCTCCGCCCCCTCGCCGGTGATTGGCCGCCTGTGTGCCTTTCCTGAGCTACAGTTCTGGCGGCCAATCACCGGTGAGGAGGTGGAGCCGAGCAGCCGCACGAACATCCAGTGGCCGAACTGAAGGAGACGCCGCGCTTCCTGGACCGGATCGTCGTGGGACTGGATCCAGGTAAGAGACATCAGCCCCTGCAAACCCCTGTACTTAATGCCGCAGCCCCCCCTAACATGTGTACCGGCGTATAAGACGACCCCCGACTTTTGAGAAGATTTTCAAGGGTCAAAACGTCGTCTTATACGCCGGCAAATACGGTAGTTTTTGAGGTTCACTCCCCCCTAAAAGATTTCAGTTTGTTGTTCAGCCGAGTTGTTCCGTTTATCGGTCACATTAAAGGTGGAAAAAGTTCTGAAATGATTTATCTTTGTCTCATTACTTTTACATCACAGAAACCGGACATGTTACCCGGGGGGGGGGGGGGGGGGTGAAGACTTTCTACCCACTGTGTATATATATATAAAATCTCATCCTCTTAGAGTGTTTGTCTGCCTTTCTCTGACATCTGATAAAGTCCTCGGTAGAGGGAATCGGTCGGTTGCCATGACAAAGTCCCGTTTCTTGTCTGTTTTGCAGGATCATTTTTCCCATACAGATCGCTCAGCTGCCATTGGAGTCCATCCTGCAGCTCCGCCTCTACGGGATCCTGAATCCGAACAGCGGGGGATCCCCGGACTCCAATAAGCAGAGGAAGGGACCGGAGTTGCTGGGACAGGTGTCCTTACCGCTCTTCAGCTTCCGGAGGTAGGTGATCGGGTACACCGTGTATTGTGAGGGAGGGTTATACTGTACGGTAAGGAGAATGGCGTCTTCCTGCCAATGGCCGCCATGTGCAATCACTGCACCAGACAGTCCTCATTGCTGAAACCAAGCCATGGCAGCATTGGGTGGACCAGGGGTCTGAAAGGGCCCCCCAGCTCTGGCTGCTGTACTTGCCTACTTTTTTTTTTTTGACAATATGATGTTTTCAGGGACCTTCATTCCCCGCAGTCTGGTGTACAGGGTAGTCAGTGCTTCTCTCTGTGTCCATAAGGATCACCCAGCCTGGAGAAGAGGACTAGGCACCATCACCTGATTCTCAGGACCTTCATTCCCCGCAGTCTGGTGCACAGGGTAGTCAGTGCTTCCCTCTGTGTCCATAAGGATCACCCAGCCTGGAGAAGAGGACTAGGCACCATCACCTGATTCTCAGGACCTTCATTCCCCGCAGTCTGGTGCACAGGGTAGTCAGTGCTTCCTCTGTGTCCATAAGGATCACCCAGCCTGGAGAAGAGGACTAGGCACCATCACCTGATTCTCAGGACCTTCATTCCCCGCAGTCTGGTGCACAGGGTAGTCAGTGCTTCCCTCTGTGTCCATAAGGACCATCCAGAACTGGAGGACTCAGCACCATCACCTGATTCTCAGGACTTTCACTGCAATGTGGTGCACAGGGTAGTCAGTGCTTCTCTCTGTGTCCATAAGGATCACCCAGCCTGGAGAAGAGGACTAGGCACCATCGCCTGATTCTCAGGACCTTCATTCCCCGCAGTCTGGTGCACAGGGTAGTCAGTGCTTCTCTCTGTGTCCATAAGGATCACCCAGCCTGGAGAAGAGGACTGGGCACCATCACCTGATTCTCAGGACCTTCATTCACCGCAGTCTGGTGCACAGGGTAGTCAGTGCTTCTCTCTGTGTCCATAAGGACCCTCAGCCTGGAGAAGAGGACTAGGCACCATCACCTGATTCTCAGGACCTTCATTCCCCGCAGTCTGGTGCACAGGGTAGTCAGTGCTTCTCTCTGTGTTCATAAGGACCACCCAGCCTGGAGAAGAGGACTGGGCACCATCACCTGATTCTCAGGACCTTCATTCACCGCAGTCTGGTGCACAGGGTAGTCAGTGCTTCTCTCTGTGTCCATAAGGATCACCCAGCCTGGAGAAGAGGACTAGGCACCATCACCTGATTCTCAGGACCTTCATTCCCCGCAGTCTGGTGCACAGAGTGACCTCTGGCAGGTTCACTTTATGTGGTCAGAAGTTCTTGGGGACACCAACTGCTGTTTACCAGGATGTAATGTGATTGGCCCTCACCTCTGTACACAGACGTGTGAGTTGTGTTGCATGATGGGAGTGTTTCTGGTCCCCAATGTTCTGATCTCTCTCTGTCTTCCAGAACGCTGACATATGGAACCAAACTTCTAAACCTGTGGACGTCCTTCCTGTCCGGTGCGGGGCCGGGGACCATGGGCAGGAGGACGATGCCAATGCAGAAGCTGGTCATACAGGTGAGTGTGTGCGCGGTACATGTGTGTTCTCTGGGGGGGCTCTGACCTGCAGATCCCACTATGGTCATACAGGTGAGTGTGTGCGGTACATGTGTGTTCTCTGGGGGGGCTCTGACCTGCACATCCCACTATGGTCATACAGGTGAGTGTGTGCGGTACATGTGTGTTCTCTGGGGGGGCTCTGACCTGCACATCCCACTATGGTCATACAGGTGAGTGTGTGCGGTACATGTGTGTTCTCTGGGGGGGCTCTGACCTGCACATCCCACTATGGTCATACAGGTGAGTGTGTGCGGTACATGTGTGTTCTCTGGGGGGGCTCTGACCTGCACATCCCACTTATGGTCATACAGGTGATGTGTGCGGTACATGTGTGTTCTCTGGGGGGGGGTCTGACCTGCAGATCCCACTATGGTCATACAGGTGAGTGTGTGCGGTACATGTGTGTTCTCTGGGGGGGGGCTCTGACCTGCACATCCCACTATGGTCATACAGGTGAGTGTGTGCGGTACATGTGTGTTCTCTGGGGGGGCTCTGACCTGCACATCCCACTATGGTCATACAGGTGAGTGTGTGCGGTACATGTGTGTTTCTCTGGGGGGGGCTCTGACCTGCACATCCCCCCCTTATCACTATGGTCATACAGGTGAGTGTGTGCGGTACATGTGTGTTCTCTGGGGGGGCTCTGACCTGCACATCCCACTATGGTCATACAGGTGAGTGTGTGCGGTACATGTGTGTTCTCTGGGGGGGGTCTGACCTGCACATCCCACTATGGTCATACAGGTGAGTGTGTGCGGTACATGTGTGTTCTCTGGGGGGGCTCTGACCTGCAGATCCCCCTTATCTATGGTCATACAGGTGAGTGTGTGCGGGTACATGTGTGTTCTCTGGGGGGGCTCTGACCTGCACATCCCACTATGGTCATACAGGTGAGTGTGTGCGGTACATGTGTGTTCTTTGGGGGGGCTCTGACCTGCACATCCCACTATGGTCATACAGGTGAGTGTGTGCGGTACATGTGTGTTCTCTGGGGGGCTCTGACCTGCACATCCCACTATGGTCATACAGGTGAGTGTGTGCGGTGCGTACATGTGTGTTCTCTGGGGGGGGCTCTGACCTGCACATCCCACTATGGGAGTCGTCATTACAGGTGAGTGTGTGCGGTACATGTGTGTTCTCTGGGGGGGCTCTGACCTGCACATCCCACTATGGTCATACAAGGGAAGGGTGAACGGCATAACTGGGAAATCAGGAGGAGGTTGGTGTCATCCCAGGTAAGAGCGCCTTACATACAGACAGGGCTGCTGTTAGAAACCACGGGGCCCCTACAGTCAACCTGACAGGGCCCCCCACCAAAACAAAACACAGTTTAACTATACTTCAGTTGCGAATGAACACAGTGAGTGATCGATATTGATCGCTCATTGTGTTGATTCAGGAAAGGAAGGGGCTGGTAAAGGTGACATATATACTGGAACCTTCCCCCCACTCTGCATTTGCCTGAAGGATCCTAGTGCCTGTAGTCAGTGGGAAGGAGGGTAGCACTGTGGGGGTGGGGCACACAGGGGGGCCAGGGCAGCTGGGGTAAACATATGGTGCACAGGGAGGTTGATGTGTGGGAGGGACAATTACTGGAACCGATCCCCTGTGTGGCTCTTCTCTGCAGCAGCTGAAAGTAGAAGTACCTGAAATAAATCCGGAACTGACCAGTCTAAAGCGGTAGTTCTGAACATTTGAAGGACTTTAGTCATCTCGATTGCAGACCTCCTGCCCCAGGGAGACTAGTCCCTGCCTTCCTGGCTCCTCCTCCTCTGTGCTGTGATTGGTGGCACCTGGTTGGAGGGCTGGGAGGTGTGATATATATACAGTGGCCCTGTGACCAGGTTGATGGTCCCTCCCCGTGTCCACCATTGATGAATGTGATGTTGCTGAATGAGGCCGTGCAGAGTGATGACTCGATGATGTCCTCCTCCAGGTGGATTTCCCGTCTCCGCCATTCGATATCGTGTACAAGGCTCCAGAGGCGACCAGCAGCGGAGTGCCGCAGACCATCGATACACTGGACAAGGAGGCCAAGAACAGACTGCTGACTCTCCTCTCCAAAGAGGTCCTGTCTGGGTAGGTGCCGGGGACGGGTGACACGTTACTTCCGATGGAAGCTGCCAGATCTGAACACGGAGATCTGATGTACTGTGATTGTGTGTGTGGCTGCATCTCCCAACCTGCGAAGATTCCATGTGTGTCGGGGCAACAAATGTTCTACATCTCTGCATCTCCTTGTGTTTGTCTTTAACCCCTTTTATTCTGGGAGGAGCCAGCACTTTAAAGGGGCCTTGATGCCCCAATGCAGTAGGCGGGGTTTATAATCTTAATAAATATAGGTGCAGCGATAAAATCTCAATGAATCGATATAATGAAAGAAATCGAACGCACAGATCACATGTGTAAAGGGACAGAGTGCAAATATTGTGCTAATAAATTGTCCACAATAAAGTGCTAATATGGCGGCAATAGTGAGCGCGTGATGGTGCAAATCATCTCATTCCAATAAATCCTGGGAATGTCCATCAGGTGCCACTCCTGAAGATCCATCCAAAATGGTCCCAGGTAAGTGCTCCGTATATAAACCATTATCCAGGTGATGTGTCCTGAATATTATTATTATACAGGATTTATGGCGCCAACAGTGTCCTCCGCGCTGTACAATATACAGGGAGACAATACAGCAACAATACAAGAGGGATAGGAGGGTCTGATCCTGGGAGCTTACAATCTAAGAGGGAGGGGCCTGATCCCGGGAGCTTACAATCTAAGAGGGAGGGGCTGATCCTGGGAGCTTACAATCTAAGAGGGAGGGCCTGATCCTGGGAGCTTACAATCTAAGAGGGAGGGGCCTGATCCTGGGAGCTTACAATCTAAGAGGGAGGGGCTGATCCTGGGAGCTTACAATCTAAGAGGGAGGGCCTGATCCCGGGAGCTTACAATCTAAGAGGGAGGGGCCTGATCCCGGGAGCTTACAATCTAAGAGGGAGGGGCCTGATCCCGGGAGCTTACAATCTAAGAGGGGGAGGGGGCTGATCCCGGGAGCTTACAATCTGAGGGAGGGGCCTGACCCCGGAGCTTACAATCTGAGGGAGGGGCCTGATCCCGGGAGCTTACAATCTGAGGGAGGGGCTGATCCTGGGAGCTTACAATCTAAGAGGGAGGGGCCTGATCCTGGGAGCTTACAATCTAAGAGGGAGGGGCTGATCCTGGGAGCTTACAGTCTAAGAGGGAGGGGCTGATCCTGGGAGCTTACAGTCTAAGAGGGGAGGGGCTGATCCTGGGAGCTTACAGTCTAAGAGGGAGGGGCTGATCCTGGGAGCTTACAATCTAAGAGGGAGGGGCTGATCCTGGGAGCTGACAATCTAGGAGGATATGTTAAGATTACGCACTCACCAGATGCGTAATGATAATACACATTTGTATGTTATAGTTGTCACCCGGAGGTCCCCTTAAGGATATAAAACAGTCTGGTCAGAGATCCCCTTCCCCTGGGTTGTCTGCAGCACCTCAGCCGTCCTCCAGGATGGGCTCTGTATTGGTGTCGGCTCATAAAGAGCCAAAAAGAGGGCCGTCCATAGTGTGGTATTTCCAGAAGTAGTTTATTTCAGGTATAAGTGAACAAAGTAATATACACTGACCATAGGAATCAACGTGGAGGTCTGGGGCGTGACGTCATTGCGTACGGCTCCTCCTTACTGGTTCCTATATGGTCAGTGTATGGCAGAGGAGTGGAGGGGGGTTATGGGGAGCCGGGGAGTGGGGTTTTGGGGTGGCACGGAAGAGGGGGGGGGGGTTATGGGGTGGTGGGCTGTGGGGTTATGGGGTGGTGGGGAGGTTTAATGGTGGGGTTATAGGGGTGGCAGAGGAGTGCAGGGGTTATGGGGTGCCAGGGAAGGGGGGGGGAGTTATGTGGTGGGTGGAAGAGGGGGTTATGGGGTGTCAGGAAGTGGGTTTATGGGGTGGTGTGGGAAGTGGGGGTTATGGGGTGGCGGGGGAGTGGGGGTTATGGGGTGGTGGTGGGTGGTAGGGGGGGGTATAGGGTGGCGGGGAAGTGGGGGTGGTGGGGGGGAAGGGGGGGTTATGGGGTGGTGGTTAGGGGAAGGGGGGGGGGTTATGGTGGTGGCGGGGGAATGTGGGATTATGGGGTGGTGGTTGGGGGAAGGGGGGGTTATGGGGGTGGTGGTTGAGGGAATGTGGGATTATGGGGTGGCGGGGGGAGTGGGGGGGTTATGGGGTGGTGGTTGAGGGAGGGGGGGGGTTATGGGGTGGCGTGGGGGTGGTGGTGGGAGAGTGGGGGTTATGGGGTGGTGGGGAGGGGTTCTGGAGATTATATGGACACAGTTGGGAGCTCCCTGGATTTCTGGTTCAGCAGACATTTTTTCGATACTTGCAGCATTTTTGGGAACCCCGATTTCAGCTGAGGAGCCTTTTGTCCAAGGTTGGTCAGTGTCCACACTACAAAGTCCCCGATCCCAGGAGCACCGAACCCCCATACTCACCTCTGTAGTGGCACCGGGAGCACCGTACCCCCATACTCACCTCTGTAGTGGCACCGGGAGCACCGTACCCCCATACTCGCCTCTGTAGTAGTGGCACCGGGAGCACCGTACCCCCATACTCTCTCTGTAGTGGCACCGGGAGCACCGTACCCCCATACTCTCCTCTGTAGTGGCACCGGGAGCACCGTACCCCCATACTCACCTCTGTAGTGGCACCAGGAGCACCGTACCCCCATACTCACCTCTGTAGTGGCACCGGGAGCACCGTACCCCCATACTCACCTCTGTAGTGGCACCGGGAGCACCGTACCCCCATACTCACCTCTGTAGTGGCACCCCCATACTCTCTGGGAGCACCGTACCCCCCATCCTCACCTCTGTAGTGGCACCGGGAGCACCGTACCCCCATCCTCACCTCTGTAGTGGCACCGGGAGCACCATACCCCCATACTCACCTCTGTAGTGGCACCGGGAGCACCGTACCCCCATACTCTCTGTAGTGGCACCGGGAGCACCGTACCCCCATCCTCACCTCTGTAGTGGCACCGGGAGCACCGTACCCCCATCCTCACCTCTGTAGTGGCACCGGGAGCACCGTACCCCCATCCTCACCTCTGTAGTGGCACCGGGAGCACCGTACCCCCATCCTCACCTCTGTAGTGGCACCGGGAGCACCGTACCCCCATCCTCACCTCTGTAGTGGCACCGGGAGCACCGTACCCCCATACTCACCTCTGTAGTGGCACCGGGAGCACCGTACCCCCATACTCTCTGTAGTGGCACCGGGGAGCACAGGTCGGCCCTAAACTGTAGAGCTTCAGTAACACTTTTATTAGATGTTTAAACTGTTTTACATCTTCATACAACCCTAGAGGGGGAGGGGAGGGGCAGATCCCAGGCGGGTCCCTGTTGAGGACCATGGGGTTCATTGATGGTCTTGTATGGTCTGCAGTGTCAGGAATAAACCTCTATACTGCCTACATGCTGCATCCTCTGAGCTGCTCCTCCAGGAATCTTCTGGCCAGCTTGGCCTCATGATGTGATTGTATTGCAGATTATCGAAGGAAGATAAATCCTTTCTGTGGGAGAAACGTCACTATTGTTACCAGAACCGGAACAGCCTTCCCAAGATCCTGGCCAGCGCCCCCAAATGGGACGTGTCGTATCTGGCCGATATCTATGCCCTGCTGCACTCCTGGCCGCCCCTCACCCCAGTCTGTGCGCTGGAGCTGCTAGACTCCAGGTGAGTCAAATCTGCAACACGGGCTGCTGCGCAGTGCGGCGCCCCCTTCTGTACTGGATGTTGTGTCTGTGGGCAGTCCTTGTCTCCCGATATGGACCGTGCCGCCCCCCCTGTGTGCCGCCCCCCTGTGTGTGCCGCCCCCCCTGTGTGTGCCGCCCCCCTGTGTGCCCCCCTGTGTGCCGCCCCCTGTGTGCCGCCCCCCTGTGTGTGCCGCCCCCCTGTGTGTGCCGCCCCCCTGTGTGTGCCGCCCCCTGTGTGTGCCGCCCCCTGTGTGCCGCCCCCCGTGTGCGCCGCCCCCCTGTGTGTGCGCGCCCCCCCTGTGTGCCGCCCCCTGTGTCTCTGTGCCGCCCCCCTGTGTGCAGCCCCCCATGTAACGAGGGAGCCGTATGTACAGCCGTAGTCATGCGGTTCTTTGACACCCGGCTTTATCTGTACTGTTTGCTGGTTCTAGGTTCACAGATCAGGAAGTGCGCTCCGCAGCGGTGAAATGGGTTCAGGACGCCATGAGTGACGATGAGTTGGTAGATCTGTTGCCACAGTTTGTGCAGGTGGGATAATATACCGAATATATATATATATTACACCTAGGGAGGAGCCTACAATAACTGCTATGGGAAGGTGGAGAGTTAGGAAGGATCAGCAGGAATGAACAATTTCTTTAGGTCTCTTATTTTTGGCTTTGAGTTGCACCCCTGTATGCAGCCCAATTTGTGGGCGTTCTATGGAGATGCTCCAGCACAGCCCAGTGGCTACTGATTGCTTTGTTGAGGTCAACCATTCACATCCCATCCTTTCCCGCCTTCATTCTCATTCGTGCTACCAATTTCGCTCTCCTCCCCTTCCCGCTGCCAATCTTGCTCTCCTCCCCACTTCCCCGCTGCCAATTTCGCTCTCCTCCTCCCCCTTCCCGCTGCCAATCTTGCTCTCCTCCCACTTCCCGCTGCCAATTTCGCTCTCCTCCCCCTTCCCGCTGCCAATCTTGCTCTCCTCCCCCTTCCCGCTGCCAATCTTGCTCTCCTCCCCACTTCCCGCTGCCAATCTCGCTCTCCTCCCACTTCCCCTGCCAATCTCGCTCTCCTCCTTCACCCCTGCCAATTCCTCTCCTCCCACTTCCCGCTGCCAATCTCGCTCTCCTCCCACTTCCCGCTGCCAATCTCGCTCTCCTCCCACTTCCCGCTGCCAATCTCGCTCTCCTCCCACTTCCCGCTGCCAATCTCGCTCTCCTCCCCCTTCCCGCTGCCAATCTCGCTCTCCTCCCACTTCCCGCTGCCAATTCGCTCTCCTCCCCCTTCCCGCTGCCAATCTCGCTCTCCTCCCACTTCCCGCTGCCAATTCGCTCTCCTCCCCCTTCCCGCTGCCAATCTCGCTCTCCTCCCCCCCTTCCCGCTGCCAATCTCGCTCTCCTCCCCCTTCCCGCTGCCAATCTCGCTCTCCTCCCACTTCCCGCTGCCAATCTCGCTCTCCTCCCCCTTCCCGCTGCCAGTCTCGCTCTCCTCCCACTTCCCGCTGCCAATCTCGCTCATCCTCCCACTTCCCGCTGCCAGTCTCGCTCTCCTCCCCCTTCCCGCTGCCAGTCTCGCTCTCCTCCCACTTCCCGCTGCCAGTCTCGCTCTCCCACTTCCCGCTGCCAGTCTCGCTCTCCCCCCACTTCCCGCTGCCAGTCTCGCTCTCCTCTCCCACTTCCCGCTGCCAGTCTCGCTCTCCTCCCACTTCCCCTGCTGCCAGTCTCGCTCTCCTCCCACTTCCCGCTGCCAATCTCGCTCTCCTCCCCCCGCCGCTGCCAGTCTCGCTCTCCTCCCCACTTCCCGCTGCCAAATTTGCTCTCCTCCCCCTTCCCGCTGCCAATCTCGCTCTCCTCCCCCCCTTCCCGCTGCCAATCTCGCTCTCCTCCCCCTTCCCGCTGCCAATCTCGCTCTCCTCCCCCTTCCCGCTGCCAATCAGGAAGGAATGTTTTCCCCTGCAGGAGGAGATTGGATCGTGCTTTGCTGGGTTTTTGCCTTCCTCTGGATCAACTGTGAATGTAGGATTATAACTTTTTTTCTTTTTTTTTGGTTGAATTGGATGGAGTTTTTTTTCCTTTTTTTCAGCCAGACTAACTATGTAACTATGGAACAATGTAACGATGTCCCCTGGAGGAATGGGTGAATCTATGAATATTGAGGTCTCCTCACACTGGAATATGTGGGTTCCCCTATGGTCCCCCACATTTATTTGCTTGGCCTTCCAAACACATAGATCCCCACAATAGGTAGTGCCAGCAGTACTTTCTCAGATTGCACCTCACCAGTCCGTATGGCACTGTGGTACCGTGCAGTTTGATGGCCATGTTTGCAAGATGTGTTTGGGGTGCCATTCACCATCAATGGCACCCATGTGCGGTGTGGGAAACGTTCACGGAATACACTTTTCCCGCACCTCGTTTGTTGTGTACAGGCCCTTCTAGTAGGACGACTTTAACATTTCCAGCTTTCCCGGGTTCTATATTCTCCTCTTCTGTCTGTCTAGGCCTTAAAACACGAGATTTACCTGGACAACGCGCTGGTGCGCTTCCTGCTGTCGCGCTCTTTGGGGAACGTCCGGGTGGCACACTATTTGTACTGGTAAGTGTTCCTGTCTGTGGCCTCCGCTGAACGAAGTCGATTTATATATTTATAGATTAGAGCAATTCATAACCATTTCATCTCCCGGCACAGAGAATGTTCCATCCTGAGCCGCCTAAAAATAAACCGTGTGACGGGTCAGAGAGCGGGAGAAGTGCCTCTTGAGGGACCGGGGTGGGGGAGGGGGTTTGGTAGAAACATTAACCCTTCAGATGTTTGCTTGTGGAATAACAGATTTTCAGGGCATAACTTAGGAGACGTGGACTTGTGTGGGCTGCAAGCTGGCCAGTGGTGGTGCGTGCTCGGCCTTGGAAGACTCACTCGGGGAGTAGGCTGGAAGCTGGCCAGTGGTGGTGCGTGCTCGGCCTTGGAAGACTCACTCGGGGAGTAGGCTGGAAGCTGGCCAGTGGTGGTGCGTGCTCAGCCTTGGAAGACTCACTCGGGGAGTAGGCTGGAAGCTGGCCAGTGGTGCTCAGCCTTGGAAGACTCACTCGGGGAGTAGGCTGGAAGCTGGCCAGTGGTGCTCAGCCTTGGAAGACTCACTCGGGGAGTAGGCTGGAAGCTGGCCAGTGGTGCTCGGCGGCCTTGGAAGACTCACTCGGGGAGTAGGCTGGAAGCTGGCCAGTGGTGCTCGGCCTTGGAAGACTCACTCGGGGAGTAGGCTGGAAGCTGGCCAGTGGTGCTCGGCCTTTGAAGACTCACTCGGGGAGTAGGCTGGAAGCTGGCCAGTGGTGCTCGGCCTTGGAAGACTCACTCGGGGAGTAGGCTGGAAGCTGGCCAGTGGTGCTCGGTCTTGGAAGACTCACTCGGGGAGTAGGCTGGAAGCTGGCCAGTGGTGGTGCGTGCTCGGCCTTGGAAGACTCACTCGGGGAGTAGGCTGGAAGCTGGCCAGTGGTGCTCCGTCTTGGAAGACTCACTCGGGGAGTAGGCTGGAAGCTGGCCAGTGGTGCTCGGCCTTGGAAGACTCACTCGGGGAGTAGGCTGGAAGCTGGCCAGTGGTGCTCCGTCTTGGAAGACTCACTCGGGGAGTAGGCTGGAAGCTGGCCAGTGGTGGTGCGTGCTCGGCCTTGGAAGACTCACTCGGGGAGTAGGCTGGAAGCTGGCCAGTGGTGCTCGGTCTTGGAAGTCTCACTCGGGGAGTAGGCTGGAAGCTGGCCAGTGGTGCTCAGTCCTTGGAAGACTCACTCGGGGAGTAGGCTGGAAGCTGGCCAGTGGTGCTCGGCCTTGGAAGACTCACTCGGGGAGTAGGCTGGAAGCTGGCCAGTTGCTCGTCTTGGATTCGGAGTTGCCTTATTCGGAGTTGCCTCAGTTACTGAGGTCACCATGTGCCGTTTAATGACGGTCTCCAGGGAAAACGTACCCCAGATATCCAGCTTCGGGGTGAGTGTTGAGGACAGGCAAGGCATTCGATCTGACAGCCCTGAGGAAGGGAGAACATTTCCCCGAAACGCGTTGGATTCTCTTGTAAATAGATTTGGACTTCACCAGAAGTGTCCTGAACTTCTGTCCTGGGAGCTCCTCACCCCAGAGATGGAGGTAACCAAGTCAGGGTAGGTGAGCAGCATTTCATGACAAATACACGAGTCCCTGTACACTAAACCAATCCGACACAAAAACTGAACACAATGTACCAAATGTACACCATAAATATGTGCATTCCACCATGAATACTGCTGCCAGACTCCTCCACCCTACTGACCATTCTGTATCTGCCTCCCCCCCTCTGCCAATCCCTCCACTAGCCTCAATTCAGTGTCCTCCACCCCCTTCTGCCAATCCCTCCACTGATCTCCATTCAGTGTCCTCCACCCCCTCTCTGCCAATCCCTCCACTGATCTCCATTCAGTGTCCTCCACCCCTCTCTGCCAATCCCTCCACTGGCCTCCATTCAGTGTCCTCCACCCCTCCCTGCCAATCCCTCCACTGATCTCCATTCAGTGTCCTCCACCCCTCCCTGCCAATCCCTCCACTGATCTCCATTCAGTGTCCTCCTCCCCTCTCTGCCAATCCCTCCACTGGCCTCCATTCAGTGTCCTCCACCCCTCTCTGCCAATCCCTCCACTGGCCTCCATTCAGTGTCCTCCACCCCTCTCTGCCAATCCCTCCACTGATCTCCATTCAGTGTTGTAACGGAACCGGACCCCGACTGCACTCGGGTATTTCCGTTAGTCTCTCGCTTCCCTGTCTGAACAAAAATCCCCGCACACCGCCGCTGATCATACAGGACGAGACAGCACCTGACTCTTCTTAAGACAGGAAGTGAGCTGCTTTACTTTTGCACAAACACAAGATATATACAGGGGGCGGGGAAATACAACCAGGAACAGGAAACACATCAGCAGGCCGTCCCATCAGGGGAAGGGCTGCCAGAAACACCCCCCCACCAAACCAAGACACACAATAGAACAATGGGATACACCAAGTGGCAGTAGACAATACAGGAACACATACATCCCATGATAGTCTGCTCCCAGGCAAGACACAATAGAACAATGGAACAACCGCATGGCAGTGAACAACCCCCCCCCCCTCCCCCCCACCTATACATGTCCACTCAATATCAGGACAGAGCACCCTGAGCCCCTAACAGCAACAGGGTGGACTACACATAAGAAGAACAACAGGGGTCCCCCCCCCCCCAAAAGTCCCCTGTCAAAGTGTCCTCCACCCCTCTCTGCCAATCCCTCACTGACCTCCATTCAGTGTCCTCCACCCCCCTCTGCCAATCCCTCCAATGTCCTCCACCCCTCTCTGACCCTCCACTGGCCTCCACTCAGTGTCCTCCACCCCTCTCTGCCCAATCCCTCCACCCTCCACTCAGTGTCCTCCACCCCTCTCTGCCAATCCCTCCACTGGCCTCCATTCAGTGTCCTCCACCCCTCTCTGCCAATCCCTCCACTGGCCTCCACTCAGTGTCCTCCACCCCTCTCTGCCAATCCCTCCACTGGCCTCCACTCAGTGTCCTCCACCCCTCTCTGCCAATCCCTCCACTGGCCTCCATTCAGTGTCCTCCACCCCTCTCTGCCAATCCCTCCACTGCTTCCAATTGCCCAACGGATCAAATTCAAAACACTAACAACATATAAAACCATTTATAACTCCGCCCCAAATTACATCACCGATCTTGTCTCCAAATATCTCCGCTCCTCCCACGACCTCCTGCTCTCTATCTCCCTTGTCTCCTCCTCCCATGCTCGTCTCCAGGACTTCTCCAGAGCTTCTCCCATCCTCTGGAACTCTCTACCCCAATCTATCAGACTATCGCCTACTCTGCTCACTTTTAGGCGATCTCTGAAAACTAATCTCTTCAGGGAAGCCTCTCCTGCCCTCAGCCAATAATGGAATCTTCTACTCCTCCTACTAGTCCATCCCCCACAGTTACTACCTTTTGTACCACCAGCCCCTCCCTCTCAGATTGTAAGCTCCCAGGATCAGCCCCTCCCTCTTAGATTGTAAACTCCCAGCATCAGCCCCTCCCTCCTAAATTGTAAGCTCCCAGGATCAGCCCCTCCCTCTTAGATTGTAAGCTCCCAGGATCAGGCCTCAGATTGTAAGCTCCCAGGATCAGCCCTCTCCTCTTAGATTGTAAGCTCCCAGGATCAGCCCCTCCCTCTTAGATTGTAAGCTCCCAGGATCAGCCCCTCCCTCTTAGATTGTAAGCTCCCAGGCCCCCTCCCTCTTAGATTGTAAGCTCCCAGCCCCTCCCTCTTAGATTGTAAGCTCCCAGGATCAGCCCCTCCCTCTTAGATTGTAAGCTCCCAGGATCAGCCCCTCCCTCCCTCCCAGGATCAGCCCCTCCCTCTTAGATTGTAAGCTCCCAGGATCAGGCCCCTCCCTCTTAGATTGTAAGCTCCCAGGATCAGGCCCCTCCCTCTTAGATTGTAAGCTCCCAGGATCAGCCCCTCCCTCTTAGATTGTAAGCTCCCAGGATCAGGCCCCTCCCTCCTAGATTGTAAGCTCCCAGGATCAGCCCCTCCCTCCTAGATTGTAAGCTCCCAGGATCAGCCCTCCTATCCCTCTTGTATTGTTGCTGTATTGTCTCCCTGTATATTGTACAGCGCTGAGGACACTGTTGGTGCCATAAATCCTGTATAATAATAATAATGAAATGTGCATAAAATGCATCCAGAGTGCTGAAAGTCGGCGTACACAATATAAACTCACAAAAAGTCCAAAATCCAACGTGAAAGTGCTGCGTGCTGAAAAAATCCTCCAACAAAGTTCTCTGGTGTCCTCAAGTGCTCGCCACAACAGACAGGTCAGCCTCTTACCAGACACATCGATCTCCAATCGAGATGAAACGAGCGGACGGTGCCCAGATTCCACACTGACCATATCAAGGGAGATGGGTGGACGGCTGCGGGCTCACCCGGACGAGCCCCTCACATCGAGCCCCTCACATCGAACCCCTCACATCGAACCCCTCACATCGAACCCCTCACATCGAACCCCTCACATCGAACCCCTCACATCGAACATCGAACCCCTCTCCATACAATGTACAGAAGGATGAAACCAGAAGAGACGTCATAGTGCAGCCCGATGATATAAACTCCAGAATGTTCAGTAAAAGATCGAACTTCCATAGATCCGGTGCACAGAGGCGGAGCCACAATTCATGCCTTTCTGTACAGCGGAAGGGGCTGTGATCTGTCATCAGACCGTTCCTCCTGCCCACCTACAGTGACCTTGTTACCTCTAGATTTGGGGGAGGGGGGGGGGGGTAGCACCCAGGACAAACGTTTGACACTTATGAAGGTCGGGTTCAAATCTTTTTTTTTTTAATTTTCCAACAAGAGAAGGCAACGCGTTTCAGGGGAAATGCTCCTTCAGGCGGCCAGTTGGGCGGCCGGAGCTTGCACACCCGGGAGGAGGAGCGGGTGAAGGTGGATTCTCTGCAGCAATGGCAGCGTGCCGCTGGAGGGCTTAGTTTTCGGTTAAGTCCTTGTGAATGCGATGCAGACTTGCACATGATGACATTACTGGGGGGGGGGGGGGTAATATCACGCCGCTTTACCAGAAGTGCCTAGGTACAGGAGGTGCATTACTGTTTCAGGAGGAATTGCAGGCGATGCTACGTTGTTTCCTGGTAACGTTTGGGTTCGGTCACTATCTTTAGATGTTGTATAAGACAGCAGATCGTCACTGTCTAGGTCCAGCTCCATGCGAAGGCCCATAGTCGGTCGGGTCAGTCACTTTCTAGGTCCAGCTCCATGCGAAGGCCCATAGTCGGTCGGGTCAGTCACTTTCTAGGTCCAGCTCCATGCGAAGGCCCATAGTCGGTCGGGTCAGTCACTTTCTAGGTCCAGCTCCATGCGAAGGCCCATAGTCGGTCGGGTCAGTCACTTTTCTAGGTCCAGCTCCATGCGAAGGCCCATAGTCGGTCGGGTCAGTCACTTTCTAGGTCCAGCTCCATGCGAAGGCCCATAGTCGGTCGGGTCAGTCACTTTCTAGGTCCAGCTCCATGCGAAGGCCCATAGTCGGTCGGGTCAGTCACTTTCTAGGTCCAGCTCCATGCGAAGGCCCATAGTCGGTCGGGTCAGTCACTTTCTAGGTCCAGCTCCATGCGAAGGCCCATAGTCGGTCGGGTCAGTCACTTTCTAGGTCCAGCTCCATGCGAAGGCCCATAGTCGGTCGGGTCAGTCACTTTCTAGGTCCAGCTCCATGCGAAGGCCCATAGTCGGTCGGGTCAGTCACTTTCTAGGTCAAGCTCCATGCGAAGGCCCATAGTCGGTCGGGTCAGTCACTTTCTAGGTCCAGCTCCATGCGAAGGCCCATAGTCGGTCGGGTCAGTCACTTTCTAGGTCAAGCAGCTCCATGCGAAGGCCCATAGTCGGTCGGTCAGTCACTTTCTAGGTCCAGCTCCATGCGAAGGCCCATAGTCGGTCGGGTCAGTCACTTTCTAGGTCCAGCTCCATGCGAAGGCCCATAGTCGGTCGGGTCAGTCACTTTCTAGGTCCAGCTCCATGCGAAGGCCCATAGTCGGTCGGGTCAGTCACTTTCTAGGTCCAGCTCCATGCGAAGGCCCATAGTCGGTCGGGTCAGTCACTTTCTAGGTCCAGCTCCATGCGAAGGCCCATAGTCGGTCGGGTCAGTCACTTTCTAGGTCAGCTCCATGCGAAGGCCCATAGTCGGTCGGGTCAGTCACTTTCTAGGTCCAGCTCCATGCGAAGGCCCATAGTCGGTCGGGTCAGTCACTTTCTAGGTCCAGCTCCATGCGAAGGCCCATAGTCGGTCGGGTCAGTCACTTTCTAGGTCAAGCTCCATGCGAAGGCCCATAGTCGGTCGGGTCAGTCACTTTCTAGGTCAAGCTCCATGCGAAGGCCCATAGTCGGTCGGGTCAGTCACTTTCTAGGTCAAGCTCCATGCGAAGGCCCATAGTCGGTCGGGTCAGTCACTTTCTAGGTCCAGCTCCATGCGAAGGCCCATAGTCGGTCGGGTCAGTCACTTTCTAGGTCAAGCTCCATGCGAAGGCCCATAGTCGGTCGGGTCAGTCACTTTCTAGGTCCAGCTCCATGCGAAGGCCCATAGTCGGTCGGGTCAGTCACTTTCTAGGTCCAGCTCCATGCGAAGGCCCATAGTCGGTCGGGTCAGTCACTTTCTAGGTCCAGCTCCATGCGAAGGCCCATAGTCGGTCGGGTCAGTCACTTTCTAGGTCCAGCTCCATGCGAAGGCCCATAGTCGGTCGGGTCAGTCACTTTCTAGGTCCAGCTCCATGCGAAGGCCCATAGTCGGTCAGTCGGGTCAGTCACTTTCTAGGTCCAGCTCCATGCGAAGGCCCATAGTCGGTCGGGTCAGTCACTTTCTAGGTCCAGCTCCATGCGAAGGCCCATAGTCGGTCGGGTCAGTCACTTTCTAGGTCCAGCTCCATGCGAAGGCCCATAGTCGGTCGGGTCAGTCACTTTCTAGGTCCAGCTCCATGCGAAGGCCCATAGTCGGTCGGGTCAGTCACTTTCTAGGTCGAACTCCATGCGAAGGCCCATAGTCGGTCGGGGTCAGTCACTTTCTAGGTCGAACTCCATGCGAAGGCCCATAGTCGGTCGGGTCAGTCACTTTCTAGGTCCAGCTCCATGCGAAGGCCCATAGTCGGTCGGGTCAGTCACTTTCTAGGTCGAAGCTCCATGCGAAGGCCCATAGTCGGTCGGGTCAGTCACTTTCTAGGTCCAGCTCCATGCGAAGGCCCATAGTCGGTCGGGTCAGTCACTTTCTAGGTCCAGCTCCATGCGAAGGCCCATAGTCGGTCGGGTCAGTCACTTTCTAGGTCCAGCTCCATGCGAAGGCCCATAGTGGGTCGGGTCAGTCACTTTCTAGGTCGAACTCCATGCGAAGGCCCATAGTCGGTCGGGTCAGTCACTTTCTAGGTCGAACTCCATGCGAAGGCCCATGTCGGTGGGGTCAGTCACTTTCTAGGTCCAGCTCCATGCGAAGGCCCATAGTCGGGTCAGTCACTTTCTAGGTCGAACTCCATGGAAGGCCCATAGTCGGTGGGGTCAGTCACTTTCTAGGTCCAGCTCCATGCGAAGGCCCATAGTCGGTCGGGTCAGTCACTTTCTAGGTCCAGCTCCATGCGAAGGCCCATAGTCGGTGGGTCAGTAACTGTGTCTTTGTGATTTAGGCTTTTGAAGGATTCTCTGAACGATCCGCACTTCGGGAGCCGCTATGAGCAGATTCTCGGCGCTCTTCTCTCCATCATTGGGAAAGGACTGAGGCAGGAACTGGAGAAGCAGACCAGACTCACCCAACTGCTGGGCGTCGTGGCTGAGAAGGTCCGGCAGGCGAACGGTTCTGCCAGACAGGTAAGACTTTTGGGAGGAGCTTCTGCTGGTTGCAGCACAGAGATGGTTCCATTCTTCCTGTCCCTGATGTCCTCCTCACCCGGAACGTTTCCCCGTCCTGACAATCTGGATCCGTCTGCTGCAGCAGTTTTGTATCCAGAGAATGCCGGCAGAATGTGGCCCCCAGTAGGGCCCGGGTCTGGCCCCATCGATATCGCACCATTGCTTACCTTTGTACATTTTACACATTGATGTATGTCCATCGATCTGTGGTGGTCCTGCTTCACCCCGGTGCGACTTTAGGTTCCATGTACCGTGTCCAAACTGGTCCTGAAGTAGCATCTCATGTATGTCTGTGAGACCGTCTGAAGGCGGATTCCACTCACACTGTCCATACAGAAGTCAGCGGATACAAAGACTGTCCCACGACTGTCCCACGACTGTCCCCCGACGACTGCCCACGACTGCCCCACGACTGCCCCACGACTGTCCCACGACTGTCCCACGACTGCCCCACGACTGCCCCCACTACTGCCCCCACGACTGCCCCGAAGACTGTCCCACGACTGCCCCCACGACTGCCCCGAAGACTGCCCCCACGACTGCCCCGAAGACTGCCCCCCACGACTGCCCCCATGACTGTCCCCCAGATGTCCTAAAATTGTCCCAAGACTGTCCCTGCAGCCTGTTTCCACCAATCGTCTGGTGTTCCAGGTGCCGACATCTTCAGTGTGGGCCCCCGGCTGGGACAGCTTACGGCTTCACATCCGGGGCCCACTGAGCATGTGCAAGAAGCGCTGAGCTTTGTGAATGGCCCGTAGTCTCCTGGGACCTGTCGTGTCCCACTACGGGGAGGGAGGTTAAGAGGACAACTTCCACATCCAATCGCCTAGGCGATCGCAGCGGAAGTGGGAGCGGGTACCTGTCAAATTCAGGTACCCTCCCCCCAAAGGTGCCAATTCTTAATGGGGAGCGGGGGACCGGTCTTTGACACAGAACTTCCCCTTTTGGGTGGAGCTCCGCTTTCATTGGTGTGATTTGATGTCATTCCCGCACGACTTTCTTCACTTTCCATGCGATATCCGAGGTCCAAATCACAGCGATCTGCAGCTCCACCCATCACAGTACTTCAGGTGAATGTCCGAGTTGTGTGCGGAGCTGAATGTGTGTGGAGTCCCTGAATTCCCTCCTCCTGACCCCAGAAGCAGCTGAGCTCCCGTGTGGAGCCGAGATTCGGGATTCATCTATGATGGGGTGCGGTGTATTCCGTGTGGAGCAAAGATTCGGGATTCATGTATGATGGGGTGCAGTGTATTCCGTGTGGAGCAAAGATTCGGGATTCATGTATGATGGGGTGCAGTGTATTCCGTGTGGAGCAAAGATTCGGGATTCATGTATGATGGGGTGCGGTGTATTCCGTGTGGAGCCGAGATTCGGGATTCATGTATGATGGGGTGCAGTGTATTCCGTGTGGAGCAAAGATTCGGGATTCATGTATGATGGGGTGCAGTGTATTCCGTGTGGAGCCGAGATTAAGGATTCATGTATGATGGTGTATTCCGTGTGGAGCAGAGATTCAGATTCATGTATGATGGTGTATTCCATGTGGAGCAGAGATTCGGGATTCATGTATGATGGGGTGTTCCGTGTGGAGCAAAGATTCGGGATTCATGTATGATGGTGTATTCCATGTGGAGCAGAGATTCAGGATTCATGTATGATGGTGTATTCCGTGTGGAGCAGAGATTCAGGATTCATGTATGATGGTGTATTCCATGTGGAGCAGAGATTCAGGATTCATGTATGATGGCTTATTCCGTGTGGAGCAGAGATTCAGGATTCATGTATGATGGTGTATTCCGTGTGGAGCAGAGATTCAGGATTCATGTATGATGGTGTATTCCATGTGGAGCAGAGATTCGGGATTCATGTATGATGGTGTGTTCCATGTGGAGCAGAGATTCGGGATTCATGTATGATGGTGTATTCCATGTGGAGCAGAGATTCAGGATTCATGTATGATGGTGTATTCCATGTGGAGCAGAGATTCGGGATTCATGTATGATGGTGTGTTCCGTGTGGAGCAGAGATTCGGGATTCATGTATGATGGTGTGTTCCGTGTGGAGCAAAGATTCGGGATTCATGTATGATGGGGTGCAGTGTATTCCGTGTGGAGCAAAGATTCGGGATTCATGTATGATGGGGTGCAGTGTATTCCGTGTGGAGCAAAGATTCGGGATTCATGTATGATGGGGTGCGGTGTATTCCGTGTGGAGCCGAGATTCGGGATTCATGTATGATGGGGTGCAGTGTATTCCGTGTGGAGCAAAGATTCGGGATTCATGTATGATGGGGTGCAGTGTATTCCGTGTGGAGCCGAGATTAAGGATTCATGTATGATGGTGTATTCCGTGTGGAGCAGAGATTCAGGATTCATGTATGATGGTGTATTCCATGTGGAGCAGAGATTCGGGATTCATGTATGATGGGGTGTTCCGTGTGGAGCAAAGATTCGGGATTCATGTATGATGGTGTATTCCATGTGGAGCAGAGATTCAGGATTCATGTATGATGGTGTATTCCGTGTGGAGCAGAGATTCAGGATTCATGTATGATGGTGTATTCCATGTGGAGCAGAGATTCAGGATTCATGTATGATGGCTTATTCCGTGTGGAGCAGAGATTCAGGATTCATGTATGATGGTGTATTCCGTGTGGAGCAGAGATTCAGGATTCATGTATGATGGTGTATTCCATGTGGAGCAGAGATTCGGGATTCATGTATGATGGTGTGTTCCGTGTGGAGCAGAGATTCGGGATTCATGTATGATGGTGTATTCCATGTGGAGCAGAGATTCAGGATTCATGTATGATGGTGTATTCCATGTGGAGCAGAGATTCGGGATTCATGTATGATGGTGTGTTCCGTGTGGAGCAGAGATTCGGGATTCATGTATGATGGTGTGTTCCGTGTGGAGCAAAGATTCGGGATTCACGTATGATGGGGTGTTCCGTGTGGAGCAGAGATTCGGGATTCACGTATGATGGGGTGTTCCATGTGGAGCAGAGATTCGGGATTCACATATGATGGGGTGCGGTGTATTCAATGTGGAGCAGAGATTCAGGATTCATGTATGATGGTGTATTCCATGTGGAGCAGAGATTCGGGATTCACGTATGATGGTGTATTCTGTGTGGAGCAGAGATTCGGTTTTCACGTATGATAGTGTGTTCCGTGTGGCGCAGAGATTCAGGATTCACGTATGATGGGGTGTTCCGTGTGGAGCAGAGATTCGGGATTCACGTATGATGGGGTGTTCCGTGTGGAGCAGAGATTCTGGATTCACGTATGATGGGGTGTTCCGTGTAGAGCAGAGATTCGGGATTCACGTATGATGGGGTGTTCCGTGTGGAGCAGAGATTCGGGATTCACGTATGATGGGGTGTTCCGTGTGGAGCAGAGATTCGGGATTCACGTATGATGGGGTGTTCCGTGTGGAGCAGAGATTCGGGATTCACGTATGATGGGGTGTTCCGTGTGGAGCAGAGAGATTCGGGATTCACGTATGATGGGGTGTTCCGTGTGGAGCAGAGATTCGGGATTCACGTATGATGGGGTGTTCCGCGTGGAGCAGAGATTCGGGATTCATGTATGATGGGGTGTTCCGCGTGGAGCAGAGATTCGGGATTCATGTATGATGGGGTGTTCCGCGTGGAGCAGAGATTCGGGATTCATGTATGATGGGGTGTTCCGTGTGGAGCAGAGATTCGGGATTCACGTATGATGGGGTGTTCCGTGTGGAGCAGAGATTCGGGATTCACGTATGATGGGGTGTTCCGTGTGGAGCAGAGATTCGGGATTCACGTATGATGGGGTGTTCCGTGTGGAGCAGAGATTCGGGATTCACGTATGATGGGGTGTTCCGTGTGGAGCAGAGATTCGGGATTCATGTATGATGGGGTGTTCCGTGTGGAGCAGAGATTCGGGATTCATGTATGATGGGGTGTTCCGTGTGGAGCAGAGATTCGGGATTCATGTATGATGGGGTGTATTCCTGCAGGTTGTCCTCCAGGAGGGGATGGAACGGGTGCAGCTTCTCTTCAGGAAGAATTGGACCGTTTGCCGCTCAGTCCGAGTCTGGAGGCCAAGGAGCTGAATGTGAAGGTCAGTGGTGCCGATGATCCGCTCTGTCCGGTCCCCAGTATATGACGCAGGGGGTGACAACACGTATCCCATGTAGTATGTTCTGTGTCACTGTCTGATACTTTGTAACAAACGTCTGAGATGTACTGAATGTGTCATAAAGGAACATGTGAGGCCGTGCCGTGTATAGAGCCGTACAGAATCCCCCGAATCTCCGTCCAGCTGGTCAGCACATTGGTCTGGTGGCATTGACCTCATACATGTGGGGTTCCCCTCTTCTCCCTGCAGGCATGTTCCTTCTTCAACTCCAACGCAGTTCCCCTGAAAGTGACCATGGTGAGCGCCGATCCGCGGGGGGAGGAAATCAACGCCATGTTCAAGGTGCGGAGTGTCTTCAGTATTCCTGTCTGGGGTGGAGGAGATTTCCCCATCTCAGTCCCGTGTTTGTCTTGTAGGTGGGAGAAGATTTGCGGCAGGACATGCTGGCTCTGCAGATGATAAAGATCATGGACAAGCTGTGGTTACAGGAAGGTCTGGACATGCGGATGGTTCTCTTCAAGTGTCTGTCCACTGGCAAGGACCGAGGTGGGTTCTCCGAATGTCATGTGACCTGGGGGGCGGGGGGGTGAGTGCAGGGCAGGGGGTGAGGACAGAGCAAGTACAGGGCGGGGACAGAGCGAGTACAGGATGGGTGCAGGGTGGGAACAGGGCGGGGACAGGGTGAGGACAGGGACAGGGTGAGGACAGGGACAGGGTGGGGACAGGTGGAGGACAGGGACAGGGTGGGGACAGGTGGAGGACAGGGACAGGGTGGGGGGATAGCAGGGACAGGTGGAGGACAGGGACAGGGTGGGGATAGCAGGGACAGGTGGAGGGCAGGGACAGGGTGGGGATGGCAGGGACAGGGTGGGGACAGGGTGGGGATGGCAGGGACAGGGTGGGGACAGGGTGGGGATGGCAGGGACAGGTGGAGAAGTGATAGAAGTCCATCGGTTTGGGATATTCTACACGTCTCCTAATAGGGAAAACCTGACAGATATTTCCGATGAAACAAAAACAAGGATTTGGATGGAGTTTGACTTTCCAGGTCACCTGGTTGAACTCTAGGCGTGGTCAGAGCGGATTTCATCCAATGGTCGCCCTCCTTATATCTGCCTTGTCATGTAGGAAGAGAAATGATAGTTCGGTCAATAGAAATGGTTAGCTATAGTCTGGGGAACGTCCTGCCATCTGTTACCCAGCATTCCCTGATATTGGGGTAGGGTGGTCCTGGAGGTGTCCTCATTGTGTGCAGTGTGTCCTCTTCTGGTCAGGACAGGAGGAGCTTGAAGGGATTGTTGATGTGATGCCTCACACTTGGTTCCAGGTCTGGTGGAGTTGGTGCTTTCAGCCGACACCCTGAGGAAAATCCAGGTTGAATATGGATTGACCGGATCCTTCAAGGACAAACCGCTGGCAGAGTGGCTGCGAAAGTATAACCCGTCCGAGGAGGAATATGAGAAGGTAATGGGATATGCTGGATGAAGACCACCAGGTAATATAACACAGAAGTCTGAGCGATGGGGGTCCTCACATTGGGGGGCACATAGACACTGGTATGTGGGTGAGATGGGGGTCCTCACATTGGTGAGACTGAGGTCCTCACATTGGGGGTACATAGACACAGTAGTGTGGGTGAGATGGGGGTCCTCACATTGGGGGTATACAGACGCTGGATTGTGGGTGGGAAGGGGGTCCTCACATTGGGGGACATAGACACTAGAATGTGGGTGAGATGCGGGTCCTCACATTGGGGGGCACATAGACACTGGTATGTGGGTGAGATGGGGGTCCTCACATTGGGGGTGCAAACACTGGTGAGACGGAGGTCCTCACATTGGGGGTACATAGACACTGGAGTGTGGGTGAGATGCGGGTCCTCACATTGGGGGGCACATAGACACTGGAGTGTGGGTGAGATGGGGGTCCTCACATTGGGGGTACATAGACACTGGAGTGTGGGTGAGATGGGGGTCCTCACATTGGGGGTACATAGACACTGGAGTGTGGGTGAGATGCGGGTCCTCACATTGGGGGGCACATAGACACTGGAGTGTGGGTGAGATGCGGGTCCTCACATTGGGGGTACATAGACACTGGAGTGTGGGTGAGATGCGGGTCCTCACATTGGGGGGCACATAGACACTGGAGTGTGGGTGAGATGGGGGTCCTCACATTGGGGGCACATAGACACTGGAGTGTGGGTGAGATGGGGGTCCTCACATTGGGGGTACTTAGACACTGGAGTGTGGGTGAGATGCGGGTCCTCACATTGGGGGGCACATAGACACTGGAGTGTGGGTGAGATGCGGGTCCTCACATTGGGGGGCACATAGACACTGGAGTGTGGGTGAGATGGGGGTCCTCACATTGGGGGTACATAGACACTGGAGTGTGGGTGAGATGCGGGTCCTCACATTGGGGGGCACATAGACACTGGAGTGTGGGTGAGATGTGGGTCCTCACATTGGGAGTGCAGACACTGGTGAGACGGAGGTCCTTACATTGGGGGGGTACATAGACACTGGAGTTTGGGTGAGATGGGGGTCCTTCAAATTGGGGGTACATAGACACTGGAGTATGTCGGGTCCTCACATTAGGGGTACATAGACACTGGAGTGTGGGTTAGATGGGGGTCCTCACATTGGGGGTACATACACTGGAGTATGGGGGTCCTCACATTGGGGGTATACAGACATCTAGACTGTGGGTGAGATGGGGGTCCTCACATTGGGGGTACATAGACACTGGAGTATGGGGGTCCTCACATTGGGGTATACAGACATCTGGAGTGTGGGTGAGATGGGGGTCCTCACATTGGGGGTACATAGACACTGGAGTATGGGGGTCCTCACATTGGGGGTATACAGACATCTGGAGTGTGGGTGAGATGGGGGTCCTCACATTGGGGGTACATAGACACTGGAGTATGGGGGTCCTCACATTGGGGGGTACTCTGGAGTTGGGTGATGGGGATCCACCATTCCATATTACATTGAGCGATTACCTCCCTCTTTCTGACAGACAGGTTCTCTTTATATTTAGGCATCAGAAAACTTCATCTACTCGTGTGCCGGCTGCTGTGTGGCCACGTATGTGCTGGGAATCTGCGACCGCCATAACGATAACATCATGCTACGGAGCACCGGTCACATGTTCCACATCGACTTCGGGAAGTTCCTCGGACACGCCCAGATGTTCGGAAGCTTCAAGAGGTGAATCTCAGAGATGATAAATTCAGCATTTATTACCTGCGATGACTGCTTGGGCTGACCAGTATTAGTGGCCACAGTTCCTACTGCATGATGGGACTTGTAGTTCTCCCATCAACACTGCACAGTGACCGGAAGAGACCCCGGTGATTCTCTATACCCCCTCCTGTACCCCGGCATAGCTGCAGTTCTAATGCACAGAGATGACCTCAAGCTATTTACTAAGAAGCTGTGCAGTTATGAAGAGTAAAGTATTCATCTGTGGACAGGAAGTACGGGGCAGAATTAGTACCCTGCCCGGAGGTCCCCTTTAAATGTAGTCATGTGACTGTCACCTTCAAATCTCGGACTGAGAGCAGTTGTCTCTTCTTGGAAATCACAATCTGTTCCTGGAGTGTTAGCTTTGTAAATAAAGCCTTTCATTGTATGTGTGCACACTATAAACAGAGGGTTGGGGGGTGGGGGGGGGGTGGGGGGGGCTGGGGGCAGGTGATGGGGGGTGGGGGGGTGTCCTCACACTCAGAGCTGTTGTATGAAGCGGGGAGGTGATGGCTCAGGGAATGTACACGGTGATAGAGCTGATACGGCACTCTGATGGGAAATTTCTCTGTGTGATGTGAAGAATGTGAGATCTCTGCTCTGGAATTCCCCGTACATTCTGGTCTTCCAGCAACGTTTCTGTCTGCAGACATTGGTGGAAGCACCGCCATCCCTGAGCGTGTTCCTAGGCGGCTTCCTGCCGAGGTCATTCATTGTCCTCATTCCCTGATATAGAATTATGTATAGTCTGCTCACAGAGTCGTATTTCTGATGTCCTGATTCTGGTTTTGTTCTGTGTAGGGATCGCGCTCCCTTCGTCCTGACCTCAGACATGGCCTACGTCATTAACGGAGGAGAGAAACCCACCAGCCGCTTCCAGCTCTTCGTAGATCTTTGCTGCCAGGCCTATAACCTGCTCAGGAAACACACACAACCTCTTCCTGAACCTGCTGTCCCTGGTGAGGATCACGTTCTACGAACCCCGAGATCTTCTACGTTTCCTGACCGGAGCCTGCAGATGTGTGTCCAGATTACCTGACCTTTATATCTATAGGACCTCCTGGGCCTTCATTGTGCTGGCCGGGTCTTGTCCTGACCGGAGCCTGCAGATGTGTGTCCAGATTACCTGACCTTTATGTCTATAGGACCTCCTGGGTCCTTCATTGTGCTGGCCGGGTCTTGTCCTGACCGGAGTCTGCAGATGTGTGTCCAGATTACCTGACCTTTATATCTATAGGACCTCCTGGGCCTTCACTGTGCTGACCGGGTCTTGTCCTGACCGGAGTCTGCAGATGTGTGTCCAGGCTACCTGACCTTTATATCTATAGGACCTCCTGGGCCTTCACTGTGCTGACCGGGTCTTGTCCTGACCGGAGTCTGCAGATGTGTGTCCAGGCTACCTGACCTTTATATCTATAGGACCTCCTGGGCCTTCACTGTGCTGACCGGGGTCTTGTCCTGACCGGAGTCTGCAGATGTGTGTCCAGGCTACCTGACCTTTATATCTATAGGACCTCCTGGGCCTTCACTGTGCCAACCAGCTCTTACCCTGACCGCAGTCTGCAGATGTGTGTCCAGATTGAGACTGAGCATTATATCTGTAGGACTTCACAGGTCTTCACTGATGCCCGGGACTTATCCTAACCGGAGTCTGCAGATGTGTGTCCAGGTTACCTGACCTTTATATCTATAGGACCTCTCAGGTCCTCATTGTGCTGGCTGGGTCTTGTTCTGACCATAGTCCATAGATGTGTGTCCAGGTTACCTGACCTTTGTATGTATAGGACCTCCAGGTCTTCATTGTGCTGGCCGGGTCTTGTCCTGACCGTGTCTGCATAGATGTGTGTCCAGGTTACCTGACCTTTGTATGTATAGGACCTCTCAGGTCTTCATTGTGCTGGCCGGGTCTTGTTCTGACCATAGTCCATAGATGTGTATGCAGATTACCTGAGCTTTATACCTGAATTTCATGGTATTGCACTGCACTGTGCTGACCCGGGTCCTGAACATTGAAGGCCAGTGATGGACACCGAGAAGGTCTGTGGTCTCTTACTTGGGGTTTCAGGTCACATGATTCATGAAGAGATGAAACTGCTGGATCCGGGGTCGCTTGTCTGTCATTGCAGCTACAGAAAAGGGTCCATACTACAGACTATAACAAAGTGTCTAACGCATTTCAGTCTGAGGACCCAAAAATGAACACAGTTC